AATCTAAAATGATGTTATTTTCCAAATAAAATTATTTGCAAACTGTTTACGGTTTACTATTATATGTATAATATTTTGAAATTAATCCACGTGATTAATAAGGAAAGGAAGTTTCCTGTACAATTAGCGTGAAAAAATATTCACATTATCAGATACTCTTGGAGTGGCTCAGTAAAGATATCTCTTACAGACCAGGATGGTTAATTTCTGATCTGGCCGATCAGGCCTGGTTCCGCAGCATTTAGTTGAGATGCTGTGGGGCCAAACTAATTGGTTCAATAAGAAATATTGTAATATTGAAATATTGTACGAACATTTGTAATGTTAGTAGTCATTAATGTCCGATCCTATCCTCTGGTAAATGACCCCAGTGTTTCCTTCAGTGAATTAATTTAACACTTCTGTAAATCTACTGTTTGTAGAAACATTGACAGGCTTGTTAGAACAACTAGAAGGAAAATATTGGCATAAGAGCAAGTGACTACACCAGCAGTAAATAATTTATCATTCTCTGTTTCTCAATAGAAACAATTATTAAAATTTAGTCTTGTCTTTTTAGCTTTAGAAAATATTTAAAAATTAACAAGAAGAAACACAAAGAACTGCAAATGCTAGAAATCCGAAACATAAACAGAAATTGCTGGAAAAACTCAGCAGGTCTGGCAGCATCTGTAGAGACAAAGCAGAGTTAACGTTTCGGGTCCAATGACCCTTGTTCAGAACTAGCATATGTTCTGTTCTTGAACTTTGAATTTTGGTTGCATAGGTCACTGTTGTTTATGCAGAGAGTTTTGTAGAAAAGTAATCCTGTATAAACGCCAAATTGCTAACATCACTCAAATGAAGGCAAGACTTGCTTCTGTAAAGCACCTTTCACTGCCTCTAGTTTCTTGTGTAATTTTTTAGCCAGTGAAGTACTTTTGAAATGCACTGTTGTAAAGCAGGAAAAGAAAGTTGCCTATTTATGCGCAGCAAGTTGTGAAATAATGTTATGATCACTAATTTATTTTAGTGATGCTGGTTGAAGTTAGAATTTCTCTGTTGTTTTTCTTTTACGCCCATCTGAGGAGATAGACAGATCTGCTGCTTAATGGCTTATCCCATTTAAGGTATCTCCAGCAGTGAAGTCTTCCCTGAAACCTGGAACAGAATGTCAACCAAGACTCTGCACTCCAGTCTCTAAAGTGGAGCTCGAATTCACAATCTCCAACCTCTAAATGTTAAAGCCTTACAACTGATTCAGAGCTGACAAGCTTCATGGATTAACTGACTTACACAATTATTAACAGCTCCAGGTGCACGGCTGACCAGATGTAATGAACACATGTGATGAAACAAAAAGTGTTTTACACATTAAATTTAAAATGATCAGAAAAAATGGAATGCCCATAACAAGGTGACAAAAATCCTGAAAGCCTTCAGAAAGCTTCAAATGGCATTACAGTCCATTGGCAGCTTTTCTCCAAGGCTACTTGCGGTAGACGATTAAAAACGTTCACAGAGAAAATAAGTTCCCTCTTTAGGTTTGAAACTACAGCTAACTGCTTGTTACTGGCCATGCTAGTTCTATCGTATATGTTAGCAGCTGCTGACATTATAATAACTTGGAATTTGTTTTCCAGCTGATGATAACCCTGCAAAAACAGTTGCCACAGACAATGTCAGGTAGCTGGGACATGTGCATATGACTGGGAAGGTCTTTTTGCAGTTGCAGCTCGTGAGGCTTTGTTGCTTGATTATTATCTTGGCATCATATTTTCGTGCGGCACAAACATGCTGTAATTGCTCCTGAAGAATAAATATGTAACACAGTTCAGTCAGGTAATCTCAGGTTTGGGTATCTATCTTCAAAGTTGGGGCATCTTCATCTAATACTCCTCTTTCAGAGCAGGGTCTGGTCATTTCTGTCTGCACATGCAGGTGCTGGAAGGTGAGCGTGTAACCTGACTTGGCTAGAATCCTCTCAGTTGTCTTGCCCTTCCTCTTCCAGAACATTTCCCGTTGGAAAATCAGTTGTGGTGTTGTGCCAGAAAGGGATAAATCTTTACTTAAAAATGGATCCAAAACCACAGAACCAGTTTGCTTTCTGTCTCTGGAATGTTATTTCCATAGAGGTGTGGGAGAATTTGTGACTACTACAGAGGGTTAGATGCCTGGACTAAGGATCTGGAGATATAAGTTCAAATCCCAGCACAGCAACTGGGAAAATGAAATTCAACTAATTAAATCTGGAATAATAAAGGTAATATTAGCAGTACTGTGACGTAAAATAAAACCTGGTTCTCCTTTTCATTTAGAGAAGAACATCTGCCATCCTTACCTGATCTGGCTTGCATGTTGCTACAGACACACAGAAATGTAGTTGATTCTTAATAGCAAGCTACTTTGTCATATTCAGAAAGGCAGTTCACAAACATCATCGCAGGGACAATTAGCCTTACAGATGACACCCAAATCACTGGATTTCTTTTCAGTGACATTGAGACAATTCACTCATCTACCTCACCACATCATTCCCTTCCACTATCCCATCTACCCAAACTTCTTTTAAAGCTTCTCTCTGACCTAGCCCTAAATTAAATCTTTCTCTAGTTTCTTTCCTATCTTCCCTGATATCTTGTCTTTATTCATCTTGTCAACGAAAACCATCTCCCGTTCCTTTGATCTCATTCCCATAAACTGCTGATTGTCCAGCTTCTGCTTTTATCCTCCAAGTTACATGATACATAATGTTGTAAACAGTTTCCTCTTTTCAGATATTGTCTTCTCTTTGAATCTATGATCATAACCCCTCTTAAGCATCCATTGCTTATCCCCACCATTCCAGCAGAATTCCATCTCATCTTCAGTCCCTTTCTTTCCAAAATTCTTAAGCATGCTGTTCCCCAAATCTCCTAACTGCACTGAACAAAATTGAAAGTCTTAAAGGTGAATGTTTTGTCAACAAGAAACAAACCATAGTATTTCATAAAATAACCAAACTTTATATTATGCATCTTTAACAGTGCTCAAGTTTAAGCAATATACATTTGAATCAATGTCTTGTAGTTTTATGCTTTGTTTTAGCACTCCTGTAATGTTTGACTGTTCCATTAAAATGCGTAATACAAGTTACCAGATTGTACAAATAAGCACCCAAAAACTGTGTTAGTAGATTAGATAGTGATTTATGGCATTATTCCTAATATATGAGTAGCTATTTTCTTTTTTCTAACTCTCTCCCAAATCTTACCCACCTCATTGAAGGTGCTGCCTTCTTGTTGGGAGACAGTTCTGTAGTTGCTGCTTTAATATCTCATTGTTCTTCAGATATGAGACAGACAGTGGGAGTTGATTAGTTGTTTTTTAGTATGGCTATCTATGACAAGAGCTTTCAGGGCTGACAAGGTGCCACATCAGAGATTAAAACAAGAGCTCATGGTTTTAGTAACATTTTAGCATGGATAGAGATTGGTTAGCTAACAGAAATTGGCACAAATGTATCATTTCTGAAGAAGGGCCTAGGCCTGAAACATCAGCTTTCCTGCTCCTCTGATGCTGCTTGGCCTGCTGTGTTCATCCAGCTCTACACCTTCTTATCTCAGATTCTCCAGCATCTGCAGTTTCTACTATCTCTGAAACAAATGTATAATTTTCAGGTTGGCAAGATGTGACAAGTGAAGTACCACAGGGATCAGTGCTAAGACCTCAAGTATTTATAATTTATAACAAGGACTGGGAAAAAGAGACCAACTGTATTGTTGCTAAACAAAGATAAGTAGGAAGGTAAATTGTGAAGAGGACATAAGGAGCCTGCAAAGGAATATAGATAGGTTAAGTGCGTGGATAGAAATTTGGCAAATGAAGTAATCTGTGAAAAAATGTGAACAAATTCACTTTGGCAGGAAGAACAGAAAAGCGGCATATTATTTAAATGGAAAGGAGTTGAAGAACTGTGAGATTCTGGTATCCTGTATCAGGGCATCCTGGTAAAGATGTCTCAGATTGCTTTGCAGATACCGCAAGTGATTAGGAAGGCAAATGAAATGTTATCATTTACTGCAAAGGAAATGGAATATTAAAGTAGGCATTTTTTACTACCATTGTACAGAGTACTGATCAGGCCACATCTGGAGTACTTGTATACAGTTTTGTTTCCTTATTTAAGAAAGGATGTGAGTGTATCAGAACCAAATCAGAGAAGGTTTATTTGAGTGGTCCCTTGTGAGAAGGCATTATATAGGCTGGGTGATGCGGAGTATTGAAACATGCCAAATCCTGAAGGGACTTAACAGGGTATCTGCTGAAAGGATGTTTTCCCTTTTGGGAAAGCCTAGAACTAAGCGACACAGTTTAAAAGTGAAGGATTTCTCATTTAAGATGGAGATGAAGAGGATTTTTCTCTCTGAAGGTTATGTGTCTTTTGAGCTTTCTTCCCCAAAGAGCGAGGGAGGCAAGGTTATTGAATATTTTTAAAACTGAAGCAGATAGATTCTTGAGTAACCAGGAAGTCAGATGTTGTGAACAGTAGCCAAGAAGGTGGAGTTGAGATCATAATCAGGTCAGCCACAATCTCAATAAATAGCAGGACAGACTCAAAGAGATCAAGCTCTCAATTCCTATGTTCTATTATCTAGCACTTTGGGGTAATAGCTTGATTTAAGAAGGAATTAACATCCCAAATATGGGCTAAAATGTCTTAACTGGTCAACCTTACTTTGTGATTCTTACCAATTTTGAACACCACTCTAACAATTTCCCAAAGTTAAGAATTCTATAAATGTGTGCTGTGAAAATGTTTAATTTCCTGATTCATATTTTAGGAATGCCATTTTTATTTTGGGAATTTAAGGTTTAAATTTAAAAATAGGAATGTCTTGTTTCAGAGGATGGTTGTACAGACGTAATGCAATTGTCATTCAAAAGGTGGCCTGTATTTATTTTAAAAATCAGTTTGAAGTTAGAAACCATTATACATAAGTGTCCTCTTTCTATGTTTCTTGTGGAAATTAAATGTCTATAGTTATCATCATAAGGGGTTTAAATTATTCATATAATTTTCAAGAATTGAAAGTTGCAGATGATTGATTGACACTACCTAGGTATGCCACATTTTCATGAGGATGGATTGCAAGGACATTTTTGGGTTTTATCCAAATGATTTCTAACAGGCAGTTGAAGCCTGGGAGCAGCTTTGAGAAGCTGAGTGAGTTTGTCAGGATCTGTAGACTGGAAGCAAATGACTTCAGAGATTGTAGAGACACCGAACAAGAAAGCCATTAGGCCCATGCTTAAGCAGGGTGCCTTCAACTGTTAGGGGAGCTAGAAGGTTGCCAAGCCAGACCCTGATAAATATCATACCACTTGGAGAATGAGAAGAATATTGAGGAGAATCAGTGTATTGCTGAGTGCTGTGACACACCTTGGTGTGTCCTAGGAGAAGTGAATAGACACACAAAATTCTGTTTAGTGTAGGTCAGACTTACTTAAAGAGCAACTTTCCATGAAATGTAATGCGTTCATGCTTGCTTTGTTTAGTTCTTATATGGTACAACTTTTTTAAATGTGAAATCTTCTGATGTACTGTTTTCAGTTAATAACTGGGAGTTTGATGTTCTTTATAATTTACTCTTCTCCTTCATAATTTATTTTTGAAACGTAAAAATAAAGAAATTTAGTGTTGGAGGTTTTGTACTTGCTAATTTGGCTTTACGTTGTCTCCAATCTAAAGTCATGGTCAATTATATGTTCAATGCAGACTCCAGAAGTTGTAGCCATCGATCTTTGTGACCCAGCTAACAAAAGGAAAGAAAATTACTGATTCTGCCAAGCAACAATAATTTAAAATCAGCCCTAATGTTGCTTTATGGTAAAGAAAAATAACAATATATTAAGCTACTTTGTTTTTTATTCTTCCTTTCCCCAGATGATCCAGACAACGAAAACTCTGTTAGAAAATGGTGATGGAGTGTGTGAAAAATTAATGCAGTGTCAAAGAGCAGGTAAGTGCAAATTATTGCCCGCTAATACGGAATTTGAATATTGCTGAACAGAGAGGCATGTTGCCAAATCTTTTTATCTTGCACTTATCAACACAAATGCAAGAATGCCAATTTTCAAACAATCACAATATATACTACAGGACAGAAGGATGCTGATTGGTTGGCAGGTCGGTTCTGATTGGCCAAGATTTTGCTATGGAGAAAGCAACAGGGAACTTTAGGTTCCCCAAGTTCCCAGGTAAATCAAAAAAGGCACAAGGCTTGTACATGTTGGTTTTATTTGCAGTGAATGGGTCTCTGCTTTTGAATGTATTATCACTTCTGACAAATATAATTGTATCACATTACAGGCTCAACTGATTCTTTTAAATTGCTTGCTAGCAATTAGCACACTCTTAGCATTGTTCAGCAAGTACTGCCCAATTGTGGTATAACATGTAACTGTAGACAAAAGTATCTTTTCAATGCTGAAGGAGTGCTTCACTCACTAAACTTACCTGCTTTCTTGCTTACCATTATCTCTGCTTCCCAATCCAAAGTATCCCACTGGGATTAGACACCTGCAGGTCAGTGACCGGTCCACTTTCCCAGTGATCCCAGGATCATCAGACCATTATTCCCAAAAATCAAAATCTGTAACCAGCACATCCATTCCCCCACTTCCACTCAACCACCACCCAAACACCCCATTATTCCCGTTAACCCAGCAGCAAGTTTCCTACCTGCTTCTAGGCTGCAACCATCTCTAAAGAATTCCACATCTCATAAGGTGCCAAGCCAATCAGTCAGCCTAGGTTCTGGGCAAGGAATCTGCTTTTGAACATTTTCATCAATACCCGTTCAAAGAGACAAACTAACAGTCGAGTCAGACCTTAAAACACTTTTTAAAAATTCTCACGCCATTACTATCTGCTTCAAAGCATCTGCAAAAAGTGTTTCTGCAATTAGAGAGATATCATCTGGACATGACATGGAAGCAAAGGAAACAGATATGCGTCATTGACATGCTGTTGATAGCAGCACTCCCTATGAAGAAATAGAGGAGTCTACAACAAAAGCAGCTGTGGAATCCATCAACTCAGTAAAGATACTGAATTTAACAAACACCTTGCTCAACTGAAGTGAATTACCCAACTAGACACAATTCTCCAAGTGTTGAAAGAAATAGTGACGAAAGGATCGCTTAGAAGTATCAAGGTCAATCCTACAGATACAAGTTTGTTATGGGCACGCAGAGAGGAATTGACAGCACATGATGGCGTTATCTACAGAAGAAATAGAGTCATTATCCCTGAGAAGCAGAGAGATGCAATACTAAATACAAGCCACCAATGAATTGAGTCATGTCTGAGGATAATAAGAAAAGTGCTGTACTGGACAGACAGACATAAGCAATGACATCAAGGATCACATCAGCCAATGCCATGCTTATAATGAGTAAACTAAGTAAGCAAAGACCACAGAGCAACCTTCACCCTGGCAGTGCACAGCAACCAACAATGGAAATGGAGTAACAACAGTTATGGCAGGAACAAAAAGTGACATGGGAACCATACTTCCAGTTGGAAAGAGCAGCCAATAACAAAATACTCACATACCATTAAGAGACGATGGGCAGAATCTTACAGGAGTCTGAGCAACTTGGACCCTGGTAAGGTTTATGTCAGAATCACTTGAAAAATTCAATAGGCACGTCTCTACATCGGGAGACATCACCTGTCATCTTTTATGCTTTTGACACACAGCATAGCAAGTTTCTCATCAGCAGCAACAAATTACCAATTAGGGATTACTGTTTGTTAAATGTTTTGTTTACAACCCAAATTGCCTTATTAAAATTCAGCTTTCTATTTTACCAAACATGCCAATAAGATGTTGACAGTCTCGCTATGAAAATCAAAGTGAGTACCTGGCAACTTCAGCTTGCCATTTGTTCTAAAAGACCTGTATGTTGGACACCAGGCAACAACATGATCATGGCTGTCTGCGTGGGCATTGGCCACATTCACCCAAGTTTTTTGTCTTTGCCTTGCCATTTAGCACAGAAGGACTAAACATACAAAAAAATTGTGGACGCTGGCAATCAGAAACAAAATCAGAAATTGCTGGAAAAACTCGGCAGGTTAGGCTATATTTGTGGAAGTTCTACAATCAGAACATAGGTGTTCTGAAGCAATGTCACTGGACCTGAAACATTAACTTTCTTTCGCTCCACAGCTGCTGTGTTTTTCCAGCAATTTCTGACTTTGTTCACAAAGGAAGGATGATTTTCATTGTTGTCAGCAGGTCTCAGTCAAGTAGCGGTGGAAAGCTCTCACTTGGAGGGTCCTGGCACAAAAGCCAAGGCAAACCTCCTATATGAGTGCAGGAGCTTGGATATGGTCAGTCAGAATGCTCCCCACAAATAGGTTCAGACAGCACACCATGCCTCTTGACTCTTTTTTTCCCTATTAAATTCTGTTTCCTTCCTGGAATGAGAGAGAGAGAGAGACAGACAGGTGTTGAGGGAGATGAAAGTGGGTGGCAGAGTTGTTATTGTTGAGAGCAGGAGGCGTCCCAAGTGATTGATGAGGGAGCACAGAGGGTATGCAGAGTTAGTAGTGTTGGAGATTGGAGTGAGTGACAACAAGTGAGGGGAGATGTTGCGGGCAATAGTGAGAAGGTAGAGCATGAGCCTTGGTGGGAGGTCAGTACAGATGAGATATCAGAGGGTACATGGTGGTAATTGCACTGGCAAAGTGCAGAAGGTTATTGACCTTCTTCCTACAATTATGGCCATTCTTCCACACAGCTGACACTGCAGTGACCCAGGTGGGAACCTCGTCTCGGGTCTGGGGTCCTGGCCTTCACTGTTGGTCTGAGAGAAAGAGAAAGTCTGTGTCTGTACCACTCTTCTAGCGCACCTCCAGGACCCTGCCTGCAAAGCAGTGCACCAATTTCCCCCTGTCTGCCATGTCTGGGGCAAAAGCCAGGAACTGTGCAGGGCAGCTACAAACTGACACCGCTTATCTGAATGCACAATGGATGGTACCTGCGCATGGAGTGCCAGTCAATTCCGGGATATCCAGTGAGTGGTGAGTTATTCTGGGAATGGTGTGTACTGAGATGGGGCTAGAATCAAGTGTGAGTGTCATAAAGGGGCATGATAGGTGAATAGATAATAGGGTGAGTCTGTGAAGATACAGTGAGAAAACCTGCACCAAAAAAACCCTCCACAAAAATTAATGTAACTTCACTCTAAGCCAAAAAAGCCCAAGATTCAGCCTATGTGTGCAATGTATGTGCAGAGACTGATGAAAATACTGGACTGCTAATACATGAGAACAGTTGTGTGCATAGTTGATCACTTAACTAACTCAATGTAAACGATAATCAATACTTACGGTAGTATTGTCGTCATGTGACCTCTAATATGAGTCAATTACTGTAAACGTCCATCCCACAACCAGTTGTATTAAGAATAAAGAGCAAACAACAATAACAGTGAGTGAATAGGCCTTGGTATCAATTAGGATGCAGGCAGCAGAGTTTTGAGTATCGTAAAGCTGACAGAGAGGTAGAATAGACCAGAAAATGTTCAATTAAATTTTACATCTTTACCTAGAAGAGTATTGAATATAAAAGTAAGGAAGTAACAATGAAGTTGGATAAGAAATTGAATAGACCAGAGTTGTGTAGATTTTTGGTACCTATTAGGGTAGGACACTGGGGCTGTGGGAAAAGCTGTGAGGAAAGGATATTGTCAGAATCAGCTAGAACAGAGAAGGTAACAGGGTCATACTCTTTCAATTAAGAGTGTATGATTGTTTCAATAGTTGGCAATTTAACATCAAAGGACATTGTCTCAGAATTATCGCAGCATTATAATTTTTTCACACATTGGGTTAATAGAATAAATGACCCACAATTTGTTAGGTAAAAGGCATGTACGTGTTGCATGCTGGATGTGCACTGTCTAGCATATTAAGATAAAAACACAAAATGGAGGTCAGTTAACCACATCTAAATAAGTGCTATATTCTATGTATTTGCAATTGGGGGGCTGAAAGACTGTTTGAAGCAGCTCTCCAAGATTGGTTTGCCTTGGGGCAACCAGTGCCAGAACTCATGGAAACTGAATCCAAGGATTCCCTGTTAGTTCTGATAAAATAGATAAGTAACTTATTGGAATGTGGAGCCAAAAAAAGCAGGAGTTTGTTTCCTGATTCCACATCAAAAGAACCAGTTCCCACCGCCATGCCTGAATCACTTTGTTATAACAATGTCCAATATCTGGAAGACTGTGACCCCTTAACATAGTGCAGAGATGTACCTTCCCCACTACCCCACACTTATAAATATGGTTACATTTGAGTTTCATTGAGGCAAAAGAACATAATATATACCAGATCCTGTCTGTCCATGGGGATAGTGGCACAGACTTCCCACAAGGATTAGAAAACGCAAATATCATTAACCTGTCACTCTCCTATGAACCGCACGATCAGACCGAAAGAGACAATAATGTGGGTCTGGGACCAACCTTACAAATGTGTGTATCCACAGGTAGTGAATTAGTGGGTAATGAAGGGTGAGTGCAGTCTAAATGGGAACAGGATAATATTTGAGCAGAATGAATAACAAAATGAATGATACAAGGAAAAGTGCAAAGAAATTAGATGAGATTGGATATCTTCAGTTGAAGAACTAGTACCAACTCAAGCCTAATGGGTCAGAAGGCCTATTTCTTTCCTAAAGTGTTTTTGATTCTGAAAACCTGTGGGGTGGTAGAGACAGAGGTGAAAAAGCTGGAGTACTTGCCATGAATATTACCTTCAATGCCACAGCTGGTAAGAAAAGGAAAACTCAGCACAAAAATTGCTGTTTCCACGCTTAAGTTTAAAGATTATTGTCATTTACCTCCTTTACTCCTGACCTGTCAAGGCTAGACTTTCCTCTATTGGCAATCAGTGGGTTTTAGACCAACTTGAATGTGTTGTTTCATGGAATCATACAGTACA